CTCTCTCTCTCTCTCTCTCTCTCTCTCTCTCTCTCTCTCTCTCTCTTTGTGTGCGCGCCTTCGTGCCTTTTTGTTTTTCAATCTGAACTCTGCCTCCTGCGCCGTCGGCAACAGGCCAGAAGGCCCAGAACCCTGCCCCCACTGCTCCCCGCCGCCTGGGACCCCACACACCCGATCAACCACTCAGCACACCGTGAAACCCCCTCTCCGCGAAAGTGCTCAAGGCGCTCAAGCCACGCTCGAGCGCGGTTTTGAGCGGCGCTCAAAAACTCGAGCGCGGCCCCTGCGCTCAATCAGCGCGCGGTTTCAGTGATCACAGGTTGTGACCGTTGTGCAATCGTCAAGCAAGGATGACTCCGATGACTCCGATGAGGACAAAGGTGCCGCTCATGATGAGGACTCCGACGACGATTATCTGGTTCGAGGAGAGGACACCGATCCTACGGAGCGGCATGGTTTAGACGGCGGCGACTGTGCCGGGCCAACGGGCGGCGCTAGCCTTCTTACTCCTGCCCCAGGCGCAGCGGGCGGGCATGTCAGCGGCGGGCAGGGATGTGGTTTGGATGTGCCGCAGGGATCGATTTTCTTTGGCATATTCAAGGAGGACTTCGACGTTGGTGGTCCACCCACTTCTGAGGCGAGGCAGGGTGGGGTGCGCACTCGGACACAGGTGAGCGATGTTGCACACCACATAGGGTTGGTCTTTGCTGGAGCGAGCTCGGGGATGTTGGAAGAAGTTGTTGGAGCGACAGGCAAGAGAGACAAGGGAAGGTGTGGTGACGACGTTGACCACAGGCCGTTGTGGTCGGTTCGGGACATTGCCAGGCGGCTAGATATGGACCTTGAGGATGTGCTCGAGGAGGAGTGGCTGAGGCCGATGGTCGCTGGGTGTGCCACGACACAGCGGCTTGCGTTGGCGCAGGACACGACCAGGGCGAGGGAGATAGGGTGTACAAGAGAGGAGGTCACGGCAAGTCTGCAACCAGATTCGCAGCAGAGTGTGCACAGGCCGCACGGTGGTCATGCAAGAGCTGGGGATGGCGGAGGAGTCGGCACGAGGTCAATGGTGCAGACGGGGACGACGAGGACATAAGGGTAAGGTTGGATGACATATGTGGCAACGGCGTCACGCGACGCCCCGATGACGATGATGGGGACGGGGGCATCAGTGCTACCATTGGCGGATGCAGGCGGGGTTGCTTGGGTGTCATCGCACTAAGGAGAGGCGCGTGGATAGAGTACTTGTCGAAGTTGTCATGGTGGAGGATGTGGTTGCAGATAGCACTGAGGAGGTGGTTGCAGATCACGCTGAGGATGTGGTTGCAGATCACACTGAAGATGGTAATGTCACGGTGGATGATGTGGTTGCAGAGCGAAATGAGGAGGAGCGGCTAGTGGATGGAGTAGTTGTCACCGCCCCTGTTGAGGCACCCATGCCCTCCATGTCCCCACTCGAGCTCCACAGTGTCGGGATCGATCCACTGATGGGGAGTAGCAGGCATATATCGGAGCGGATCTAGGAGGCTATGCCTCTATGCCTCCATCAGTGCCGGTCCCATGAACGTGACCGGCACCGGTCACTTGAATGTGACCGGCCGGTCACGGGGGCCAAATTCTGTGAACCTCCGTTCACGGGGTTTCCACCCA